GGAGGGGACTGCAGCCAACACAAACATGTACCTGCACTTCTCAAGTGTCGTCTATGAAGCCCAAGCCTGTGGATGATGACGACCCATCTTGAAAGGAAGGGTTCTCCAGGCCTCCCTCAGCCACCACACCTCACCCACCCCTCTCCACACAGTGTGGACTCAGTTTAGCAAGCACACAGGAGAAAAACAATTGATTCATTTCATTTAGAACAGCAAGAGTTTGGGCTTTCACCCAGCCAGGGTTAAACATCACACTTCCAAAACATCTCACGCTTGGCTTAATTATGCCACAACTGTGAGTTCATAAAAACAAAGAGGGGGCCGGAGAGATGGCTCAGCAGTTAAGAGCGTTTGCTGTTCTTGCAGAGGACCCAGGTTTAGTTCTCTTTACCCACTGCTCACAAGTACCTGTAACCCCGGTTTCTGGGGTCAGACTCTCTTCTGGCCCCTGCTTACATACACAGAAACATTTACACACACACACACACACACACACACACACACACACACACACACACACACACACTTAAGATCCATTTGCACTCTAGGCTTCGGACACATAATCTTTATTTGTTACTCTTTTAAGAGAGACAGAAAGAATGAACTAAAAGGCTTCAGAGAGTCTGCTGGGTTTGGTGGCATAGGCCTGTAATTCCACAAACAGTGAAACTGAGACAGTTTCAAGTTCAAGGGCCACCTGGACAACTAGTGAGAACCCCTTGCTTCAAAACTTAAAAGATGCTAGAGCAATTGTCCTGCATGCACAAGAGCCTAGGTTTAATCCCCTGGTATCTCCAAAAATAACGTGTGTGTGTGTGTGTGTGTGTGTGTGTGTGTGTGTGTGTGTGTGTGACAAACAAACAAAACAAAACCCTGCCCCAGATGGACAGAGGCAGGAAAGCAGCTGGCAACTTATTAGGAGACCAAGAGTCACAAAGTGCTAAAGACGGGTGACGAGGGAAACAAGGGCAAGGGCTGTAATGCCCATTAAGGCTGAGGTCACATTTGGGTAAAGGAGGGGCATGGAGAGATAAATACGAATAACACTAAATAAAGACAGAAAGCCACCAGGCTGAGCAAGGCAGAGTGGAGCCGGCAGCCTCTAGCTCCCCCACCTTCCTTTTATCTTCACTTGTGAACTTAAAGCACCCACCAGACTCGCTTGGTCACCGGCTCTGAGAAGAGCCACAGTGGGTGTTGGTAGATGTCTGTCACAGGGCCAGAGGCAATGCACCAAGCCTGGGGTCACCACAGTTCACCTGCAGTGACAGGGCAGCATGGGAAACAGATGGACAGAGCCAAGTGTTGAGTTTGTGGAGGGTTTTACAGACACCAAGCCGGGCTGATGGCATCAGTCATCACACAGAGAGAGCTTGAGTGAGCCCCAGGCTCCAGGACCTCCAACAGCCAGGGCTCCACAATGCCCTGCCCAGGGGGGGTTACTTCAGTATCACTTCCTCTGTGGTACTTCGCAGCTCTTTTTCTCCTCTGCAGGGAACAAATTGCTAGAATTTCTGCTCCATTTTTTGAGGCCGGGAGATCATTACCAGCAGCACAGCTGACAGTGCACAGATTGGCTATAATGTCTTCACAGGACCCCAGTACACCCTACGCCCCTTACATAGGCTGTGTCTGTAAACAGACAGCCCCCTGCCCAGGAGCTTTCTTTGACTCCCAAGAGGGAGCTCACCTCTTGTACATTTTCCTAAAGAAATGCTTTCTAAGGAAATTAGAAAAGGAGTCCTCTAGGCAACTACTCTTCTCTTGGTATAGACGTTGAGAGCAAAATGGGAACGGGTGGCCCATTTGCTCTCATCCTGAGCCACTTAACCAGGCTCTGAATCCTCTCTGCTTTGGGGGATGGGCTGGCAGAATCCAAGGGCCCTACCTATAGGCACAACAGAACATTTCCCACACACTGCCCATTCTGAGTGCCCAGGACTTGGTAGATACGGCTCTCTGAATTGAGGAAAACGTTGGTAGGAGAGCCACTGAGTAGAAACAGACACACAGCTCACTTATACCCTTCTCTGGGTATGGTGGCCTGAGGCTGTAATCCTAGCTTCCTGGGACATCGAGGTAGGAAAATCACAGGTAGGTTCAAAACCAGCCTGGCTTGTAGACAGTTCAAGGCCAGTCTAGGCAACTTAGTGAGACTCTGTCTCAAAACAAAACACAAAAGGAAGGGGTCAGGGTAGCCAGTGGCAGAGCACTTGCTTAACAGGCACAAGGCCCTAGTACAGAAAGCACAAAACGAAGCCTCTTAAAAAATGTAATTATCAGGAGGCAGAGGCAAGTGGATCTCTGTGAGTCTGAGACCACCCTGATATACACAGCAAGTTCTAGACTCAGCCAGCAAGTTCTAGACAATAAAATAAAATGCAATCATCCCGGAATCCTCTTTATATATCCCACAAATAGCTACCAAAAAAAAAAAAAAGGCTTTTTAAATATTTTGGTGCCAGGACCAACTTGGAAATGACCACTAAGCTACATCCCTGCCCAAGGCTGAATTGCAAAACATGACCCTTTGGGGAGGAATTAGTATTTGGACCATTCACCAACTCCCTGATCACTTTTCCTACAAAACAAAACAAAATAAAACAAAAAAACCAAATACAACTAAACAAAGTGCAAAGCCAGACACCCTCCCAATCCACCCCTAAAGGCATCACTGAGGACAGGGGATCTATGAGAACAACAGGTGAGGCAGTGTGTCACCCTTAGGGGCTGGAGCAGGGCTGCCTTCTGTCCCTGCACTGGAAGGGACCTGAATGCTATGTGATTGACTAAGGGGCAGGACTCTGGACACTGGCCTGTGCTGAAATTCAAATGCAATAAATATTGAGGGCTGATGGACCAAGCAGAGAATTCGTGGGATGCCATGAGTGTGTGCCTGGGTGGTCTGGGTCAGTGACGGAGTCTCCTGTGACCTCAGTGGACCTGCTTTAAGGGAAACGGCCTCTGCGGTTCATCTCTAGCTCCTCCTCCTCCTCCCTAGGGAATCTCAACATCCTGGCACACTTGGGTCCCACACTGTGATGTCTGGGTGGGGATGTATGTCACGCCTGGGAGCGGTCCATTGGCATGGGTCCCTCAAACTGTAAACAGTGCTGGTGGCCGCAGGACACTGAGAACCAGCACCCTGGCAGGTTCCTGCATGGCTGATTCCCTGAGTCCCGTATCTTTGGGCTTACACAAACAAACCCCACTGAACCAGGACACGGGTGCAGGGAATGCGCCGTCTTCCTGAGAGTCTAGAGGTAGAAGAGGCTGCGCTCGCTTCGCGGGAGTGCGAGCTTCCAGTGGGCATGACCCTGTATCCGGTGGGTGGCCGCAGGAACCAGGAAGGCAGCGCAGGTGAGAACCAGGAGTAAAGTCTACGCTCGCTCACGTGCTGGGACCTTCTGGGATCCGTCTGGATTCCTGCGATTCTCTCATCTTGGGGGGAGCAGGCACCCCAGGAGGGTTCTGGGTGGAGGGTTGCGGACAGCAGCGGCAGCAGAAGAGAGCCAGGAGCCTTGTGCGGACTGCCCGGGTGCAGAGGGCGAACATGATGCAGTTGGCTCCTCCCTGGAAGGTGTTCCCAATGCCCTGGGGAGGGGAGAGCCATGAACACAGGGCTGGGGCATCTTAGAAACACAATCGCGGGGACTCAGTGGACTGCTATGAATCCCATGACCTTTCCTGTCCCCGCCTCCAAATTGTCTTGGGATGAGCTGGCTCTGTGGCCTTCAGCAGTGTTCTGGACAGGCCTGAACTGGCCACCTAGCCAGAACCGCAGTTAGGCCTTCGGCACTGAGAAGGATCCAGGATCAGTCAGCTCTACCTGGGCTTCTCTAGGTTGCTGAGAACAACCACAGATTTCTTTCTCCCCATCTCTTCCTGCAAAGCCACGCTTGCTTGGGGACACTGAGCTACCCTGTTTCCCATAGGCGCATCCTGGCCAATACACTGGGACCTGAGATGCCTCTGTCTGCAGGGAAGGGATCTGGCCATGCCACTGTGGGGCAGCAGGGCCCACGGGGACACGCATACATACATGCAGAGCAACCAGCACAGGCGACTGCACGGCCGGGGAGCCACAGAGGGTCAGGACGAAGCGCACGGTGCTCCAGACCCGGAGGCAGATGAATATGAGCGGAATCAGGATTAGTTTCTTATCAGCCACGGAGGTGGAGGAACCTCGCTGCGGCTGGCGCACCTCACAGATGGGGCGGGAATCCCAGAGTGCCTGGTGCTGCGTGGACGACAGGGAGCAAAGACGAGAGCCAGGTGGGCCTCTTACCACACCCACCCATGAACGTCCAGCCCGGGAAGGCAAGAGCAGGCACTGTTGCCTTTCCCACATGGACACTGTGGAGGCCTGGAGTCTAAGATATCAGACCAGGGGCCAACCCCTCAACCTCCAGCTCCCAGGTCAGATCCCCGGCTTACTCCACATCTCCACAGCAGTGTCTCAGAGATGTCCTAGACCCTGCCCAGAACGAGCAAGTCTCATCAACCTCATCTCAACCCCCAGGCCCTGCACATTCATCTCAACTGAATGACACTACCGCCTTCCTGTCACCTGGGTGACAGACATTATCTGTTAGTCCCCTCTTCACCTGACCCACGAGCAAGTCCTTCCTGGGTCTGTTACCCAGAAACGGGATATTCTGACTCACCACCATGGCATGACCACTGTAACTGCTTGGTCTCCCTCTTTCCCGCCGCAGGCCACCCCAAACGCAGAGGCACGTTCTCAGAGGGTCTAAGGCAGGTTTGGCAAGCCCTCTGCCGTATCTGCTTGGTCTCCCTCCTTCCCGCCGCAGGCCACCCCAAATGCAGAGGCACGTTCTCAGAGGGTCTAAGGCAGGTTTGGCAAGCCCTCTGCTCAAAAGCTCTTGGTAGCTCCGTTTCATCCCTTCCTTCTGTTATCCCATCAGGTGAACCCTGGCTCAGTTCTGGGCTCAGTCCCATGCTCTCCCTTGCCCATTCTTCCAGTCACATCGCTCTCCTCCAACCCCAGGTCTTAGCTGGTACTTGTACCTGGGGAAGTATTTTCAGCCCCCTCACCTTCAAGTCCCTCACGTTCTGAATGAAGCTCACAAGCAGCCATCTTGCAAACAGCCCTGAGCCCAGGCCAGCCACAGATGGCTGTCACTCACCTTGTTGCCCAGCTTATTGCTGCCAACCCCCTCCCTCTCCACAATGCAAGATCCCCAGGATGCAGGCTTGCCCACAGGAGGGGCAGAGGGGAGGAAGGGGCCAGCCTTGGCTCTTGTACTCCTGAGGAACATTTGTCAGGGCGGGAATGATGCTCAGTTTCAATCAAATTGTAAAACCAATTGAAATGGACAATGAGAGGTGTGAGTTTGAGCCTGGATCGTGAGTTCAGGGCACTGAAGCCTGGTGAGGGAGTAACCACATGCCTGGCATTGGAGTGCCAAGCTTCAACAGCTCTCCTGGTTAAAGGACCTCTGCCTAAGGACGGTGACAGCAGCCCAGGGAGCTGAGTGCCCACCTCACACAGTCGGGGAGGGGCAGGGCAGAGAGTTCAACGGTGGTGCAGCTTGGAGAGCCTGGACCAGGTGGACTCTTCCTCAAGACCAAGCTTGCCTCCCCATCTATTTCCAGCTCTCCTCTCCACCTCAGGCAGGAAATGACTGTGTTCTCACCTCCTTGCCCATGTCATTCCTTTTCTTTTCCTAAAACCTTTGGCAAATTGCAAATGTTAGCTGTCACATGCAGGGGCCAGCCTGGCAAGCAGGGCGCTCCTGCCCTGCTCTAGAAGGGACAAAGGCACACACAATAGGGTGGAGTCTGGTAGGGCTGGTGGGGAGGGGGATGTTCATTCTCCAGGAGCAGCCTCCATCTTCCCAGGTCAGTGGGCAGGGAGAAGAGCATCCGGAAAGGTTGGGCCTTTGGTCTGCGTGGGACCCACTGCTAGCCCTGCTCTCCAGCCATGGGCCTTTGAGAACACAGGGCATGTTTTGTTCTAGAGCTTGAGCCCAGGGCCTCTGCTTATTTACATATTCTATCACTGAGCCACGCCCACAGGCTTCTTCGGACTCAGCAGTTTGCTGTTTATTCTTTCTTTTCTTTTTTCTTTTTCTTGAGACACAGTCTCACTGTACAGCCCTGGCAGGCCTCAAATTCACAGAAATCCACCTGCCTCTGCCTCCCTATTGCTGGGATTAAAGATGTGTGCTATCACGCCTGGCCCTCAACGGCCATCTCTGAGTTAGGATGCTCCTTGCAGGCATCTGTGTCCTTGGGACACCTCATCCCTGCACAACACTTACACACACACCCGTCTTCTGAGACTCCAGCTCTCCATTTAGCCGATCTTTGCCTGCCCTGTTGTGTGTGCCGGTTGCCCTCTCAAGCCCCAGACACGGGGTCTGAATGTGGCTTAGACTGGCCTCGGACTATGTAGCTGAAGACAACTATAAACTCCTGATCCTCCTGCCTCTGGCGTCTGTGTCTGGGGCTAAGGTACACAGTGCATTTGGTAGAGCACTCACTTAGCACAGATGAAGCCCTGGTTTCGACCCTAGCACTCACTTAGCACGGTGGTGCCTGCAATCTTAGTGCTTGAGAGGTGGAGGCAGAAGGATCAGAAGTTTAAGGTCATCCTTGACTGTATAGTGAGTTCCAGGCCAGCCTGAACTACATGTGACCACATATCAACCACAAAACAAAATGAAACAAGACCCTGGCTCAAAATAAAAAAAAAAATAGTACATATAAAAAAGAAAGGGAGTGGGCTTCTCACTGAATTCTGGGCGAAGCTATGATTGCTTCAGCCACTGGTTGGTTTATCTTTGACCATGACTGCTTAGGACTTACCTCTCTGGGGGTCCGCTACCCTTTCTGGATAGTCCTACTGACTTATGGTCTCCTGAAAAGCCTGACACTTGGGACACAATTCTGAACACCAAGGGTAGATGAATTATCTGTGGCCATCGTCCTTGACTTTTAACCTCTTAGTGAAATATCGTGTCTGGCCACATGGGGGCAGTGCAGGACCACGGTGGTGAATCCAGCGCTGTGGATCCAGTTACTCTACCTCTGAGCCCCCTCAGCTTCTGTCTCACCTACACCAGGACCACTTGGCCGCCTTCAAGTCTATTCACACAGTCCAAGCACACAGGCCCTATGGCCTGGCACTAGTTTGGTCCCTCAGAGGATCAGCCTGTCCCCGAAGGGCTAGTACATCAGACACCTACCGCTCTGTTAATGTGCTTCCTGACCAGAAGGTAGAGCAGAGGCAGCAAGACATAAGCCAGCATCTCCCACAGCTTCCCAGTCAGCAGCATCCACATGACACGGTCCTCAGCCTCCAGGTTGATCCAGCACCAGCCCACAGACACATCTGAGGCATCGTAGCCTATCTTCTTCAGAGAGACGGCTGCCACTGTTATGGCCAGTGGGACACCCCAGCTAAAGAAAAACATGGAGAGAGAGGTCCAAGGTTAGCTATAACCTGCCATGACCTGCAGTGTTGTCATGGGCAAAAGTGACGGGACAATGACTGCAGAGGACAAGACTCCCAAACCAGCGTCAGATAGTGCGTCCCTGTAGACCAAGGGAGGACAGGAAGGGCATGGGGTAGCCTGCTCTAATCCAGGCAGGGCAGGAAGGGCATGGGGTGGCGTGCTCTAATTTAGAATTTCATTACTTGGTGGCTTAGTCAGGAGAGCGACTCTTCGGTCAATCGCTAGCACCATAGAAATTGGGCATGGTAGCATAGGCCTATAACCTCGGTGCTTGGGAGACGGAGGCAGATAGATCATTGTGAGTTCCAGGCCAACCTGGACTACACAGTGAGAGGCTAACCTGGGCTACAGAGTGAGACTCTCCCACAACTGTCTCCCATATCACACAATTCAGTGGTCAAGATCACTTCCAAGACCCAGTCTTGATTCTAAGCACCACATGGTAACTCATGACCATCGGGGGCCGAGGGGATCTGCCTGCCCCGAGCCAGTCATCTCCCCCATCCAGACCCAGAAAATCCACCCCCAACTCCTGCATCCCAAGCTCCCCCAGGCTGGACACAATGCTGGTGTTTGCAGACTGCTAACCCCAGTTCCAGGGGATCCAGTGCCCTCTTCTGGCACGCATGTGGTAAACAGACATACATATAGGCAAAACACTCGTACTGAAAATAAAATCATTAAAAGATAAAGCTTCAGTGCTCCTCAGAGTGGGGTGTGGCCAGACAGACCCCAGCTCTTATGCGCCCTGCCTGGCTCCTCTCCCAGAGGGGTGTGGCTACCAGTACACAAACATCAGCTTGCCTGTCACACCTTCAGTCAGTCCCCTGGCAACCTGGGTGATCTTGGGGTTGCAGGAGTTGGGAGAATCCAGGGTCTAGAATCCTAGGCTATGCAAAGGCAAATTCCCTCAGGCCTGACGCCTCCTTTCTTAGGTGTAGGGAGTTTGCCCAGCAAGGGTCAAAGTGACCCCCTAGAAAATCTGGTCAGGTGGTGTACCACTGAGGACACTGTCCTGTTCCTCCATTTGGAGAACAACACCCCACCATAACACAACTGGAATTAGGCCCAAGTCCCAGGTCTCCTCTCCAAGAACCCCTGCCCAGCCTCCTTCCAAAACAACTTATCAGAGGGACACCTCTTATGGAGGTGACACAAGGATTAAGAGCTCTGGCTTCTATGCAATGGGCTGGGTCCAAATTACCACTCTGTGGTCACTCAGACCAGTGGCTTAGCTTCGGCACGCCAGCACTCTCACTGGGTGGGGGTGATGACGGCACCTTCTGAGGAGAACCAGGTGAGTATTCATGCGGCTCACACAAGCCCAGGCAGCCACACGTGTGCCAGCTGCTGTGAAGACTGTGATTAGAGGCAGGCATGGTGGTGCATGCTTGTAATCCCAGCACTTGGAAGGCAGACACTGGAAGCCAACCTGGGCTCTGAGGGAGACCTCGTCTTGCTGTAACGTTTCAATGTTCATCAGAAGTATGCAGGTTGGTGGGTATAGTGTGTGCACAGGTACACACACACACACACACACACACACACACACACACACAGCCATACATTTATCATACATGCCGTGGACAGAAGGAAGTGAAACACTCAGCTCTCTCTACCTCTTCCCCTAAGGTCCCAAACTGAGACACGATTCTGCTGGAAGTTCCCTCTGGAGAATCAATGAATTTATTGGGGGCATCCTTACAGATCATTGATGAGGGGCTACTTACAGCAGTATGGGTGCTCCTCTCTAAAAGTCTGCATCACGAAGCCCTTCCTTTAGCCATCAGGCATGAAGACTTCCCCAGGGGCCATCTAGATGGCAAGCACCCCACCCCACCCCTTAGTCTTCCTATATACTCCACCCCTCCCTAAGGACATGTGTGAGTAAGGCAGAGGTGACAGGTGACAGGAAGTGGCTGGACACTCAGGTGAGGGTCTCGTGACATTTCCACCACCTCCTCATGAGGGGATGCTAACTTTCAAACAGGTCCGGCTGGGATAAGCAGGCTCAGAGGACAATCACCATAAAGCCTATAAGTGATACTAAAACACACAGCCCTGGGGCTGCTGGATGGCTTAGTGGGTAAAGGCACTTGCCACTAAGTCTGATGACCCGAGTTCCATTTCCTGGACAGACAGACTGACACCCGCAAGTTATCCTCGACCTCCACAGGTGGTGCCATGGCACTTTTGTACCTACCCCTCAAAAATAAATAAATGTAATTTTAAAAGATACACAGGCACAAACACATCTTTCTATTTCTATACTATGGAGGTAACACAGGATTAGGTGAGATCCACTCTGCCAATGGACTCTCCAGGGAGCCCCGCCCATAGGACTGACCGTGCTCAGGCCCTGAGAGTGATCCCATGACACAAGGATTAGGTGAGATCCACTCCGCCAATGGACTCTCCGGGGAGCCCCGCCCATAGGACTGACCGTGCTCAGGCCCTGAGAGTGATCCCACCACACAGAGCGGCTCAAAACTTTCATTTCCTGTAACATCTAGGCCTGCAACCCCATCACTAGGGAGACAGAAGCAGGGGGATTACCAGGAGTCTGAAGCCAGCCTGGAGACCCTATCTAAAGAAACAGAAAGCACAGAGAATGTGACAGACTGTAGCTTCACCAGACCACAACTGGGGGACCAGTGTTCCCACGGTGCCCCCATACTTCCTCATTCTTTCAAAGCCATTTTTCTGTCACCTCCCTGCTGAACACTCACCACTGTCTGCCACTGACATGGCACCAGCTCTGCTTCAGTTCAGGGCTGATGACACTTTTAAGCTTTCATGGATACGGGTGCTTTGCCTGTATGCACATATGTATATCACATGGAGGCCAGAAGAGAGCGTCAGATCCCCTAGAACTGGAGTTCCAGGCAGCTGTGAGCTGCCATGCGGGTGCTGGGAACCAAACTCACGTCCCCTGCAAGAGCAGCCAGTGCTCTTAACGGCTGAGCCATGTCTTCAGCCTGCCTCCACTCCACAGTCCTCTGTATTAAAGTTGTCTCCAGCACTTAAAATTTTTTGAGACAGGGTCTCATGTAGACCAGGCTGTCCAGACTGGATGAGGCCTCGCCTCTCGAAACCTCTGCTTCTGAAGCAGGGGACCTCACAGATTAGGGTCTGCCTAGCTGGAAAAAGGCCAGCACACCGCACACCAAGCAGATCGATCACTGGGCACCAACAGCATCACCATGCCTCCAGGCAGTGCCTGGACCCCTGGTTTGTGTTTGCCTGGAACCCAAGGTCAGGCTCTGCAGTTAGGGACTGAACTGTGCTCCATTCCAGATCCGTCTCCTGAAGCCCTAACGCTCAGAACCTGAGGATATGACTTTGGAGACTAGGTCCTTTAAGGGTTAACTAAATTCAAATGAGATAACAGTTGCCAGAGTGGAGTGGGTCACATCTAAAGCTTCGTAGTGACAGACTTTGACAGGGCCATCCCTGTGGGGACCCAGAGAGACAACACCATCTAGGAGCCAATAATTCCTTTGCCCACACCTTGAACTTCCAGCTCCAGAGCCATGAGGGAAGAAATTGAAGCTGCCCAGGCTATTGGCTGTTGTTGGTATACCATGCAGAACAAAGGCATGAGGTCACCTCCCCAGGCCCTGGGGAGCCCGGCTCCAGAGTCAAAGGAATGAACTAGAAGGGCTTAGGGAAGAGAAAACGGAAACAGTGCCACTTGGCTTTCTCCAGTCAAGCCCCCTGGGCGCTCTTTATCGTTCCAGTTTTAAATCCCCAGTGAAACTGGAAGCAGTTGCACGGGGAAAAGGCAAGCCACCCTCATACTAGGAATCCCCTGGCTTCATACGATGGCCTCAGGCAGGTGGCTGTCCTCAGAATAGCAACAGGCTAGATGCTGGCTGGAACTAGGCCCCTTGGGGATCCCAGCTCTGCCCATCTGAGGGAGCTCTATTACAGAGCAGGGCACTCCTCCTTCTCCTTAGAGTCCACGGAAAAGCTGCCCACTGCTTCCCAAAGAGCATTTAACCCCTGGCCCAAGCCCCAGCCCAGCCCACTAAGGGCCCAGGTTGTAAGTGGGCTCCAGGCATCACTTAGACTCCAGCTCCTCCCACAAGCAGATTCCTGGTTTTCAGCTCCTCCTCACCTTTGGAGGTTGGCAACTGCAGAGGAGGAAACAAATGGGGGGGGGCGGGGTCTTCCTTCCCCTGTATGCCAAATGGCAGTTCCTGGCTATGGACCCTGTGGCCATGGGCAGCCTTAAAATGTTAACGTATGGGGGCGGGGAGATAGAGGAAAATGTTGGACAACAATGTTCCAGTTTAGAAAAGCTCTGGGGAGGAGCCAGAGGGAAGCCCAGATGAACAGAGCAAGGCTGCAGAGAGGCAGCTTCCCCAGGACAATGGCTTACTTATTGTCCCTCTCACGGGGCAGAGCTAGGACGTGGGAGAGGTTCATGGGGTCAGTGTCTAGGAAGGGCCACCATGAGGTCATTCTGAGGCTTCAGCTGTGCAAGGGGGAGGGGTGTCCTGGGCAATCACAACACACCTGATGACACTGTAGCCCGCAGCAGACACCCCTGCCCATCTGGGTCCTGGAGAAAGATAAATAGATTGATTTTACTCTTGGAAGGCTCAAGGGTAACCTCTGGTGCTGTCCCTGGGGCCCTTGCCCTGGGTTTCCCACTGCTAAGATTTTACCATATAATCTTGTTAAAAACATTGAGGAGAACAAACACAAATCATTTCTAATTTGCGGGGCACTGATGCCCTGGCATGCTGTTCAAGAGTCTGCCTGCCCAGTGTTAGATCAGAGGCCACCCCTGTAGACGGTAGAGGGAGTCACAGAAGTCTTACTTCCTATCCAGCACCTTTGCTAGGGCGGGGCAATAGGATCAGCTTCCTGAGTTACAGTCTTTCCAGTATTTTCACATAATGGCTAAACTCAGGGACTGCTGTCCTCTAAGCACAC